TGAATCAAGAAAAGCAAGACAAAGTGAGTGTGTTCTATATATTTATGGTTGTGACACAAGAACCACTCAAGACACACAAACTCAAGACACAAAAAGGAAATACATGGAGGAACAGTATAGACACATATTAAGATGATTTGAACCAAACAAAACAAGACAAAGAAGCATAGGAACGAATTTACCAAGGAGACCTAGCTCTTGATACCAAATGATGGAAACTTGCTTGGAAACCCAGATTGATGTGAGTTCCCTTCAAGTTCCTCCCTAGACCTTGAACTCCTTGATTCTTCCTATGCTTGCACACAAACAAAAAACACAAAAAGGAAATACATGGAGGAACAGTATAGACACATATTAAGATGATTTGAACCAAACAAAACAAGACAAAGAAGCATAGGAACGAATTTACCAAGGAGACCTAGCTCTTGATACCAAATGATGGAAACTTGCTTGGAAACCCAGATTGATGTGAGTTCCCTTCAAGTTCCTCCCTAGACCTTGAACTCCTTGATTCTTCCTATGCTTGGTTAAGGCCTCCTATGGAGGAGGAGGCCTTAAGACCACCACGGTTGGTGGAGAAACTCTCCCAAGAGGCGCCACTCCTTGGAACATTGTGTGCAATATGTGTTGACTATTAAATTGAGACAGTTAAATATATATATTTCCCGCGTGCTAGACAAAGACGAGCTACATAAATAATCTCTTTATGATTCCACAAGGGAAATTTCAACGTAAATTAACTTCTCAACGTGACAGCCATCAATCAGTTTCTTACACATAATTTTCAATCACTATATATAGCATTAATCAAACAAATAATATCTTATTTTCGGTTGGATTATGAAGAGATCGACAAGGATTTTTTCCTATAGATATCATTTTTCCACTAGTAATATTATTTTTCTAATTGAATTAGATTGAATATTCCATCAAAAAGTAAGATGTGTGACACGAATTGCGTTAAAGACTAGGTAATGTACATTGTAATGTAATTCCAACGTTATACAAGGAAACATAATTAATTTACATAAACTTTGACTTATACTATAATTCATGGGTGTGCCGGCCCCGATGAAGGTTATAAGTGCAAGCAAATCTAATTCAACTACAAGTGGCAAACTAATCAAGCTTAAGAATATAAGTTTAATGATGGCAAAGCTCACCCTATGTGCGTTGTCCTTGGTCTGTGTACTGGCTTTTGCCTCTGCGCAAAGTGCCATTGTGACATCTACATATCATTTATACCAACCTGAACAGCATAACTGGGATTTGCTTGCAGTGAGTGCATATTGTGCAACTTGGGACGCAAACCAGCCCTTGTCATGGCGTAGCAAATATGGTTGGACAGCCTTTTGTGGACCTGTTGGACCTCAAGGCGAAGCCGCGTGTGGCAAGTGCTTAAGGGTAATTACATCCTTATATAATAGTGCATGTAGATCGATGCATACATTTTATTCTACTACGTACCTACCCCTGCATGATTAATTTAGCTTTGATTTACATGTGTCACACACACATAAAAATCCTAATTTTTCTTATTTTGCTTTTGATTGATGAAGAAAGCAAAATAATGAATTTATTTTATTGTTGGTATTGTACGTAGGTGACAAACACTCGAACAGGAGCTCAGCAAATAGCGAGAATTGTGGATCAATGCAATAATGGGGGTTTGGATTTGGACGTTAGTGTCTTCCAGAGTCTCGATTCCGACGGAAGTGGAAATGCTGAAGGTCATCTTATCGTTCACTATGACTTTGTGGACTGCGCTGACTAAACACGTCCTTGTTAATTGAGCACATATTGCAAAGGCACCTGGCAAGTCCAGGAGGATTGATTTTCATATGGTTATTTATTTTTACTAGAGTTAGCAAAGTACCAGCATAAAAAAGTTGTGTTAGGTTACCCATTGCAATATTGCATGAAATTGTAAGGAGGAGTGTTCCCATTAGCTGTTTTATTTCGTTTCAGAGGAACAGTATAGACACATATTAAGATGATTTGAACCAAACAAAACAAGACAAAGAAGCATAGGAACGAATTCAAGAGGGTTCTGGTCATGCGGAGCCGCACGCGCGCCGGGGAGTCTGGTCATGAATAGTCGCGCGAGATGGGGGGATTTGGTTGTGCAGAGCCGCGCGAGCGCTTGGAGGTCTGCTCGTGTAGAGTCGCGCACGTGTCAGGGGAGTCTGGTTGGACAGATCCACGTGCGGGCCACGAGGGTCATGTCGTGTGGAGCCGCGCTCGCGTCGGGGTGGTCTGGTCGGACGGATCTGTGCGCGAGCTAGGGGGTCTGGTCGTGCAGAGTTGCATACGCGCTAGGGGGTTTGGTCGGACGGATTCGCGCACACTACAAGGTCAGGTCAGGCGGAGCCGCGCGCGGGCCAGGGTGGTCTGGTCAGGAAAATTTGTGTCAGGGGTGTCTGGTTGGATGAATCTGCATCGGGGGGACTGGTCTCGCAAAGCCACGCATGGGCTGGGGGGTTTGGTCGGACGGAGTCGCGCGGGCTGAAGTTTGGTTGGACGGATTCGCGCCGGGGGGTTCTGATTGTGCGAAGTCGCGCGTGCGTCAGGGGGTCTTGTCGTGCGGAGTCGCGTGCAGGACGAGGGGGTCTGGTCGGACGGAGTTGCGTGCACGTTAGCGGTGGTCTTGATGGCAGAGTCGTGCGCGACTTAATGGGTCTGCTTAAAGGTGCGCACGACTAAGTGGCGAAGCGCGACTGGTGATGCACAATTGACGTCGACAACCCTCCGCCCAAACGTCCGACGACGACTACAAGCATGCCCAACAGAGGGAGAACCAGGTGAAGGAAGTTTTATCTATTTTTTTATTTCCAAAACCTTTGTCCATGTTCCACCTAGGATCAACATCGACCAATCAAACCTCTCTTTTCCAAATTTCTCAATGCTAAGCATTGTTCCTTTTACAAGCAACAGAGCAAAAAATTTAAGAAACTGTCTTGCCACATAGGATCACTCCAATGAGAGGTTTTTGTAAGCACTGTTGCTTATTCTTAAGCAACACAATAAGCACCTCCCATTGGAGGTACTAAGAGCATCTCCAGCAGGGTTGCTTAAGCAACCCCCCTTGCCACATCAGCCCATTTTCTCCTTTTTTCTTAAGCACCAGAGCTTGTACAAGAAATTTTGATAAAATTTAAGCAACTCAAATAGGCTGATGCCTGATGTGGCAAGGGAATTGCTTATAAACAATCCCATTAGAGATGCACTAAGTGGACTTTTTTTTTTACATAGCATCCACGTGACTGCTATGTGTTAAGTATTTTTTTGTTAAAGTTTTTTCTAAAATCTGATTTTAATCCTTATAAAATTTAAAGCTTGATTTTAATCTCTATAAAATTAATAGTTTTATATTGGTTCCTAATTCATAGTTTTTTTCTCGTTTTTCATCAATATGTATGTCCCTGTCATACACTTTCAGGAATTCAATCGATGGTTTAGCCCTTTTTTATATTCCCTTTTGGACATAATATTCTTCTCTACCTTCTCTCCTCGTGACGCCACATTACACATATGTTACATAATGCACCGATCACATTTTATATCACGTGAGATTGTAATTGAAAGGTTGATACGTGATGGAGCATCTTACTGTGTGACAAGTTCAGCATCACATAAACAAATCCTGTTACTTGCAATAAATGAATGATAGAACTAAAAATTTCAATAATAGGTTCATGACAACGTTAAAGATCATCCAAGTTAATCACATTGTCATTATACCAATGAATCTCAGAAGATTTTTTCTCACAATTATTCTCACAGCTAGAACTTTCCAAGGCTCTTTCTAATGACACTGCAAGATCCATCTCCCACAAACCTAGCCTGCATATCGTGTTGTAGGTATCATAACCAGTTACCCGCAGGCCATCTGACACCAACTCCTTTAAGTCCCCCCTTATTTCTTCACTATTCATCACGTCCATAAATTCTTTTGATACCCCAGATTGCCAGAAAACAACAATGGCACAACTTTTATCCACCAATTTAACATCAAACTCTCCTGAAAAGATATCATGGGATGAACGAAGTACACTCTTCAGCATGCCAGCTGTCATACCAAATTTGAATCCCCATAAGAAAACCAATTGTTCACAACCGACTCTTTTTGTATTATTGGTCCACACGCCAACATCCCCATTAGATGAATCTTGAATAGGGGCTGAGCATGGATGGAATACATTGGTGAAGTCTTCAAGCTCGGGGGCCAAATGCTTATTACCAGATTCAGTAACATTTGGGGAAATTTTCAATATAGAGCAGAGTTTCATAAATAAATAGCAAAGCCTTAATGCATTAAGTCCATGAATCTTGCCTTCTTTTACTGTAGCTGTATAAACCAACAAATAAAAAATAAATAAATAAGCCTAGCAAACAGTCATGAAAATAAGCCTTTTTTTGTGTGTAAAGTAATTCTTAGAGGAACAAAAACAACTCAGCATGCCTCTAAATATTGACAAACTAAGCATACAAGTTTTAAAGAACTGGTCATGAGGCTTGTACAAAATTAACACGGAACCATCTAATAAGCATGATTTTGAATTTTGCATAAAAATAAAATGTTGTGGTGACACCAAGTAGTGACTGACCTTGGTCAGGAATTTCCAAATCAACAGGTGCAAAGAAATGATTATTCAAGTAGGACATAGCACTCGGAATGTTGGTCACTTTTCTCATGGTTCCATGTTTCTTCATCAAATAATTTATGTCAAGTACCTTGGGGAAAACTGAGCGCAAGGAGCTCACAAATTCATCTACCTCAGGCGGAAGTGGTGCAATAAATTTTGAATGAATTAGTGTACAATCTGCACAAACCAGAAAAAAGTTAATAAAACAAAGAAAGTAGATCAGATCAGTACTAGAACTAAGTTGAGAAATTTCCATTTAAGAGATACACCATTAAGGCAATTGTGGGAGATAACAGGTTTCTGTGAAGCAGAAATCAAATCGATCACCTCTCGAAATCCACGAATTTTCTTGCTCTCCTCCTCTTCAAAATTTTGAAGCTCTCTCTGCAGTGTAAAACCATATTTATTTTCAAATAAAAAGTTATGAGGAACAAGCAAAAAACAGTAGAAGTTTCTCATTACCTCCAACAAATCCTTGTCTTCTTTTGAATTTGCCAAAACAATTCGTACTGCATTAGTGGTTCCACTCTTTGTAGGGATTGGCAAAGGAAGAAGATCATCTGAGTAATCTACCAACATCTACAAATAGACAATCAAAAACAAAAGGAAAATGATTCATTTAATTCATATACAATCATGAGGTGATCAAGGTTATAGAACAATTAAAATTTCATTAGTTCATTATACCTCCAAAATAAGCTGCACTTGACGTTCACTGCAAACATCTATAGTCATGCAAGGTCTTGATCTAAACAGTTCACTTCCCAGGACAATATTCTTAAGGGAATTGATAAGTTCTTCTGCACAAAATGAGAGTTACAGAACAGAAAGATCCCAAAAAAACCAAACTGAACAGAATCTGTTAGAGATTTTCTTACCATGTTTGCTTGTGTTTGTGTCTGAGCTTTTACATGAGTTTCTCCAATGTTTAATGCGTGTTCTAATCCTCTCAACAAAAACTGTATCGGCAACAGTAGAGGGTGTAGAAGATTTCATTACAGGATGAGAAGGGAGAGCAGTTCCAAGACGAATTCTAGCTACCGACTCTTGTGCTCTAGATAGATATGATATGCCTGTCATACAAATCAAAATCAATCATAGGTCATTAAAAGAATTGCAACCTCGAGCACAGGGCACCACTAATGCCAAAGAAGGTCCAGGGAGGGTAAATGTACTCAATCTTAGGCCATAGCCCCACAAAATGATTTGGGGCAACAACATCTAAGCTAAAAGGTAGCAATTTTATTGTTGCTGCCAAGGCTCACCCTCAGTCATATGTCATTAGAATATCACAGTAAGGGATCTGAATTTCCTGCAATGAGGGATTTGATTCAACACATTCACGCAGTCAGGCAATTGAAATTGTTGGATGAAGATCAAATGATTCATATTTTATCTTGGTAAATCAAACTTTAATTACACATCTCAGATTTGAACCATTTGATCTTCATCCAACAATGTTGATTTATGACTACGTGAAAATATGTGAATGCATGGAATCCAGATCCCAAAATAAGTAACAGAACCATAGATCCGCAATTTACATGTCATACCATAAGCTTTCTTTCTGCCTGTATTTACAAATTAACAGATTTCCTAAACTTATTAGACACTCTGGTATGCAGTTGAAGGGACCATCTCTTTAAGTGACTCAATCACCAAAACTTAGGCCAAAAAAATAAAAATCTTTTTTATCCCATTTCAAGAGTATTTCCAACTTCCAAGTATTACTCATTCGAATGTAGTTTCAGTTGCCTCACATAAGCAACTTAAGAAGCATATAGGCACAGAAACAGTCCCCATACAAACACAACAGCAGATTCAAATTCCCAGCGATAATAATCACTTTAAAACCATTCATGCAAACGCAATTAGATGCAATTCCAAGTGCTTTTGACGTTGTTCTCCCATCAAAATCCATATTTCACCTAGATAATTCGCGTAACAATAGTTTGCACAATAGTTCAATATAAAAAATAAAAAATAAAAAAATAAAAAAAATCAAAGAAAAGCTTCAATTCTAATCCTAGACCAACATAAAAAAACCTATCTAACTGCACTTAAATATTGCCCTTGAATTTACTCTGAACGAAAGAATAAAGTCTCACCATCATAGACGCAAGCATTGAAATCAAACCCCTGGCGCGCCATGGAGGCGAGAAGCGAAGTCTGGCACGAAAAGCTGTAAGCAGGCATCCCCATCTTCAACTCATCTCTCGGAAACAACACGAAATTATAACTGCACAGTGCACACCAACATATCATTTTTTTAATATATTATTCAAAAAGAGTAACCTACCATATTCCAAAAAAAAAAAAAAAAAAAAAAAAAAAAACACACTGACGGGTGAGCGATGAGGTGGTTGGAATGGGTGACGGAGAAGGGGCAGACGGCGAAGTGGAGGAGCTGGAAGCGGTGGGCGGAGCGGCGGGCCTTGGAGTAGGCGGTTTGGGCGGTGTCGAAGGGGAGAGGGCGGAGCCACGACGGCGCCGAGGGAGAGCCCGTTTTTCCCAATGATATGGCGACGAAGTCGGAGGCGGAGATGTGCGTCTTTATCTCTTCCAGGGATTCGTGGAAGTTGGAGGTTGTCACCTGCTTAACCCTCCATTTGGAGGACGAGGTGGTGCAGAGGGAACGACGACTCCGTAACTGCAACACTGAGGCCATTACGACGCCGTTTCTGCTTTGGGTTTTTCGTTTAAGCCGCTACGCATAATGACTGCGGGAGCCTTGAGGTACTAGGCGGGTCGAATCTTAAGTGGATTTTTTTTTTCAAATCTTAAATGCATTTTTTTTTCCTCAATAATAGTTATGCGGTATTTTAGTTATTTAAATTTTAATAGAATAGCTTTAATCTTCAAATATTGTAATTATTTAATTTTTGACCTTTAAATTTTAATTGAATAAATTTAGTTATTAAAAATTATAATTTTCATTCATATTTTAAATAATATATATTTATTATTATTAAATAAATAAAATTTATATATATAATTAGTATTATAATATTATTATTATATTTATATATTAAGTTCATAAATATAAATTAGTAAATATTAATATATTTTAATAACATGATACTCATTAACACCACATCAACAACAAATTATTATATTTTTAATATAAGAAACTAAAATTATACAATTATGATATTTATTATATTAAAATTATTTAATTAAAAATTGAGTATCAAAATTGTACTCTTATAATACTTGAGGGATTAAAATTATTCGATTAAAACTGTAGAATCCAAAATCATATAATTATAATATTTAATCGATAAAATATGTAATTAATTTTTTTAATATTAAACAAGTTGATTATTCGTATATTCATGGGTTGCATTAGTCATATATTCTAAAATTAATTTTGTATATAATTAAATGCAACTAAATTATGATCTTTTATTTTATCTAATTAATTTAATTTGATATTTCTATTATCAAAATATTATATTTGATCCCTTAAATGATGTAATATGATTATTTTTTTATAATTCAGAGTAGCAATATTAATTTGTTTTACACGTGATACAATATAAAAAAAATTATGTGTATTGTCATGCGTACAAAGATTTAGCATCAATATTTTAGCATGTAATGCATAGATTAACTAAAGTTTAAAATAAATTTGTACATAAATATTATATTTGAATATAAAAATTATATTTAAATTTTGAATAAGTCGATATTTTTAAATATATAAATTATATTTGAGATTTATAATAAATAATTTATATTGTGACCAAAGATTACTTTATATTTATTGATAGTTTAAAAAAATATTAAATTTTAATTTATTAATTATTATAATAAATAAAAATTAAATTAGATATGACATTAAAAAATTCTTAAAAGACTCATGTCAAAAAAAATTTAGGTTAAAAACCTATTTTGCTCCCTTATAATAATTGTTTGTTTCAATTTAGTCTCACTTTTATTTTTGATCTCAATTTGGTCCCTAATAAATTAATTGGTTGCAATGTCGGACTTCTGTCCAAATTATTTAAACGGAGTTAATTGTTGGGCATGTAGATGCCACGTAGATGCATAGGTAGATGCCACGTGGATGCCAAATTTCTTGAATAGAACTAGAACGGCCCGTTCTGAAACGAGAACGGGCCGTTCTGGGTGCACTCTTGGTGTGTTAATTTTGCATCTGAAACGGGTCATTCCAGATGCAAAATTAACACACCAAGAGTGCATCCAGAACAGCCCATTCCAGAACGCCAACTTCATGCCTGCGCTGACCAAAATGCTGCAATGTGATTCAAAAATTGAAAATAAAAATTCATAACATATCATAAATTCAAAAATAGAAATATGATTTAGAGACTTAAAACAAAAATTCAAAACACAACATATACTAAAAAAGTTCAAGGAAATTACTGAGAAGGAAAATTATCTAGATAACGCTGAAGGTGCCAATAATACATCTTATCAATCATATAACACTGAATGGCAATAAGATATCAACATTATCTACCTATACATGAAAAGCTTTTTAATTTAACAATTAAATTTTTAAAAAATTGATATAAAACATTAATTATTAAGTAGAATAAATCTATCATGACTTACTCTTGAAGTAAGTAAATTTTTTCTTCATTAAAAATGAAGATAATTTTACCACAAAATAAAAAATAATTAAACAATAAAATAAAATATAAATAAAATATATTAATGTATTTATTATATTAGATATAAAAAGATAATTAAAATATAATTAATAATATATATTTTATAAAATTATTAATATTTTATATATAAAAAAAATGAAAAAAAATTTAGTGGGAGCAAGTGTCCCCACTATAATTAACTTAGATTCGTCCCTGCATGTGGTTGTATGGTGAAATGTTAGTCTTGTGTATCCTCTTCCTTTACTTCAGGTTGTACCTCCTCAAGAACAGGTTGTTGTTGTTGGGGTACATCGTTAATGACTTCAAGGAAAAATATCATGTCATTTCATCTTTTACTGTATAGTGTGAATTTGGTAGTAAGTGGTTCACTCTAATTTGACTAACAATGAAATAAAATCTGCTACCATTGTCCTTAGTGATACATTGCATTGTCCTTAATGATATACTGTATAGCCCAACTGTTTAGCAATTGAAGTTATCAATTTCCATTGACAATATTACCAAATCCAGTGTTTGAAATACTTTGTACCTTGGATCTTTTTCCTTCCACGATTCACAATCTGAACTATAATCATTGATCGTTTGTGTTTGGCATTCTGGAACCAGAACGACCCGTTCTGGTTTCACTCTTAGTGTGTTAATTTTGCACCTGGAACGGGTCGTTCCGGATGCAAAATTAACACACCAAGAGTGCACCCAGAATGGCCCGTTCTGGTTTCAGAATGGGCCGTTCTGGTTTCAGAATGGGTCGTTCTGGTTTTAGAACGGGCCGTTCTGGTTCCAGGTGTATTCCAGAAATTTGGCATCCACGTGGCATTCACCTATGCATCTACGTGGCATCCACGTGGCTAACAGTTAACTCCGTTTAAATAATTTGGAAGGAAGTCTGACATTGCAACCAATTAATTTATTAGGGACCAAATTGAAACTAGAAATTTGGCATCCACGTGGCATTCACCTATGCATCTACGTGGCATCCACGTGGCTAACAGTTAACTCCGTTTAAATAATTTGGAAGGAAGTCTGACATTGCAACCAATTAATTTATTAGGGACCAAATTGAAACCAAAAATAAAAGTGGCACTAAATTGAAACAAACAATTATTATAAGGGACTAAAATAGGTTTTTAGCCAAAAATTTAAAAAGACTTTGTCAAGATAGTCATGCATATTTTATATATAGGGATTGATTAGTTTTGATTAAACAAAAACAACCATATTTATCATTTTTAAAAATTATAGAACTAAATTAAATCTTCAGTCAAAAAAAAATAAATTAAATCTTTTAATAATAAAGATACTAAATTAAAATAATTGAATAAAATGTGAAAGAAGAAAAAAGTAATTTAATCATTATTTACTTAAAAATAGGCGATACAACATATGAGACAAAACAAACATTTTGACCAAAACTAAACAATAAGATAAATTTAATCTTATTTAAAAAAAAAACATAATAATAAATGAAATTAAATTTCAAAAAGAAACTTATATATTTTATTAATTTTTTTAATCTTACGATTTTATAAATTTATTGCAAAAATAGAATGCAATGTGATGTAACTAATTTTTTTATAATTATTTTATTAATATAAAGTATCCACTAGTTTGCAATTTTGATATAAACCCCTTATGGATCACAAATTTAGAATCTAAAACATGAATTTCTTTACACAATTTGTAAGAAAATATAAAAATTAAAAAGAAAAATTAGATTATGTGAGAAATGGTGAAAAAAATGCCACAATCTTTAAAGACTGATAAATCAAGAAAGATTTGTCACTTTAAATCAGAAAATTCAAATATAAGAATCAAGGTAGTCCTTAAAATCCTGAAGGTTTTTTTTTTTTTTTTTTGCAAAGTATCAAACTTCATTCCAAAATGAGTGAAAAATGATTATAAAGTCAGCATTTAGCCTAAAAAAATGTTAATAAATGGACCTAAAATCCGCTACGACCCACTTTAAAAAGTCCCACTAAATACGCTAAAATAAATCTCCTTCAAACAAGCCCAATAAAAGGCTCCACCAAATATACTAATTAAAAAGTATTAAGTCCAATACAAATGACAAGACTAACCAAAGTCAAAATACAAAATATGTCTAATCTATTAATTCTCTTCAAGCTCATTCAAGTGTAACCTTTGGTAGGTCTCCATCATTCCCTCCTTGCAAGAAATTCACCATTAAAGTTGATACTTTATTATCTACATAAAAAGAAAACGCAAGTATTAGTTTCAAGTAAACAAAATCCTACTTTTAAAGAGACTTGAATTCCTTAAAAATGGAAAGTCTCTTATTATTTATGTACTCATATATCCATCCTCCTAGATTGATGGGATCATGCACAAGGATCAAATACAAAAAGAACCAAAAAGAGTGCGCTAGATAGGGATGGTAATAGGTAGGGTATGGGTAGGGTCTTATAGTACCCTTCCTCATAGCCCTGTTTAAAAACAATACTTGTATCCAACCTCATACCTACGCAAATAGCAATTTTAATCATCATCCATGTATTTGATGGTTACCTATGTACCAATATCCACACCTGGGACTCGCATTTTACTTATTTATAAAGTAAATAAATAATAAAAAAATAATATTTCACACAAGTAAATATAATATTAATTTGTCAGGTCTTTAACATTGCAAGAATTTAACATAACAATTCTTATAAATAAGGATTACAAAATATTCAATTCTTATATATAAGCTTTATAAGAAATTCAATATAATAAAAGTTGTAATTAACTTTGAACATCATGATAATGTATTTACAATATTCTCCAAGACCTATGAAAAAAATTATACAAAAATTAGTTAAATTAAAGTTATAGATTAAATTATATATTATTAATTTCAAAATAAACAAATATGTAGATCATAGACATTTGATCTTATCAACGAAATCAACTTCTCCACATTTTTACAAATATTTGTCTTCTAAGTCTATATAATGTTTTGGTCCAATAATAGCAAAAGAAACTACATGATAAGAAAATAAATGATTAGACAATTTAAATTAATAATTAAAGTAAACAATAAAAATAAAATAAATTTTATTAAATAAACAAAGTATACCAGATAAGGGTATGAG